ATGCCATCTAAACATTTCTAATATTTCTTGTTATATAGATATATATATATATTTCTCTAATTTCATAATTTTAGCTGTTTTAAGCATGATGGTTAATCCGTTTGTACCAGCATATCGTTCAAACATTTTAGGACTTTGAATATTTAATAATGTTTTATATATTCATTAAAAATAGCTTACTTGCGGAGTTTATAGTGGAAAAAAATAGATTTATATTGCTATGTATTTCTATGTAGATACAAACATGTTTCAGCTTTAAAGTGTTATTTCTTATTTATTACACGTTAAAAGATTTTTCTATTGTATCTCTTTAATACAAACACTCTAGAGAAGCGTCTTCATAACTTCCCAAACGTAAAATAAAACACAAATATAATTCGTCTAAAATTCTTTCATGCTGTTCTATAATTCTGAAACAGTTCCGGAAATTTTTTTCTCTGGAATTTGCCATTAAAATACTACTGATAATTCCGTAAAAGCTTAGGGAATAACATTCTTATTTCAATTACATTTGTTAACCACTGAATTACATTTCTTAACCACTGGAAATTCGGACTCACCGAATTATCATTATGAAAAATAAAAAGAATAAAAACTCCTTCCTGGTCGAAGTATTGCACTATCTTTAATTCAGTGAATTTTTTTTTGATTTACTCGTGCTCCTATATCTGTTTTTATCATACAAGATTCTTATGTATTTGCAGAATTTTGAAGATAAAACTTACTGCATTCCAAACTTTAAAATTCAAAATAAGTGGTGCTGGTGTGCTTCCTCTAATATTATGAGCTAATAATGTTAGTAGCTGATACATTACTTTTACTTAACTGTATCTATTTCACTCACTTTATCATAGACTTTTGTTATAAATAAAATAAATTTATATTAATACTCATTTGATTTATCAGCTTTATGAAACTGAGAAAAACCTTTCATCAAGGTCTGAAATTTACAAGAGTTCTAAAGAAATGCATTTTAATTGTTATTTGACATTTATTTTGAAACGTTAGTCCTCTCTTCTATTAGAATTGCATAGAATTTTCCTGAAATTCGTAACGCAGAAATTATAACCTATTGCCAATTATAATTACTCTTTATTTGTTTCTTTACTTATTTTGTGTTAGTGTGCAATAAAAATCTATTGTCATTTTGAAATTTGTTAATTTTTGAGAAGTTGAAAATTTGTGCAAATGAAAATGTAGCTTTGATTTTTATTATATTCATACTATTGATTCGATTGTTTCTTTTAATTCATATGTCGCTAAATATAATATTTAATTGGCTCGCAGTTTAGAACTTTAGTCGTTTGCTTTACGAAACTTACATTATGTTCTCAATGGAGATATTTATTATAAAAAACTAAGACGAGTACTGGATCTAGATTTGTACCCACTTCGTTTAGTCTAATTTAGAACTGCTTTATACACAGGTCAAGCATGGCCAGGTGGTTAGGGTGCGCGACTTCCCGTCCCACCAAATATGCTCGCCCTTTCAGCCGTGGGGACGTTATAATGTGACGGTCAATCATACTATTCGTTGGTAAAAGAGTATCCCAACAGTTGGCGGTGGGTGGTGATGATTAGCTGCCTTCCCTCTAGTCTTACACTGCTAAATTAGGGACGGCCAGCGCTGATAGCCCTCGCGTAGTTTTGCGCGAAATTAAAAAAAACAAACAAACTTTATACACTAACAATACACAAATTTAGTGAATATCTTGTTTTTAGAAATGCATTTCAATTTCTTACAGTTATATAACGTCAGTTGGATAGAATGCAAATGCATCGTATTTATAGAATTATATCTATTCAAAACTCCTTTGCATGTAAAAAATGTCAAAATTTGTGATGTTTAGAACTGCTCGTGTTTCGTACCAACTTTTGTAAAACCGTCCTTAAAAGTTTCAATGAATTTATCGTTATTAAAATCATAATCTTAACTTCATCTAATCGAAAACAACATGCAAATGTCCATTTATTCCAGTTTAAAATAAATATATTGTAGTAAGGGTATTGATAGATTATCGTGACAAATACCTTGATAGATGCTTATATTAGAAGATATAAAAAAAAACGTTCAACAGATATTAGCTCTCCGAATTTGATAGTCTGGAACAAAGATAAATGGTTGGAAAATGAAAACAACTTTAAAACCTGATTAACTACTTTCTTTCATTTTATAGGACCAATTGGACTTTCAAGTAAATTAGACAAAGTTTGACCTTCACTTCTAGAAGAAGCGGAAAAGAAGACCGATTGTGATTTACATATGATTTTATATTTGATGAACATTCTCATTAAATCTCAATATGTTTTCTTCAATTGTTCTACTGACGATCTAAAAATTACAAACTTGCATTGTTATATCCAATTAGAGCGCATGGTTTTATTCAGTATTACAGTGATTTCCTTACTTTGGTGTAATGGATATAAAACGATGTAATATTCGAAACTACATAGACTGATTCCTGACTCCAACGAAAGAGTTATTATATTCGTTAGGAACATTTATCTTTCAAATTTTAGTCACAATTGAGACATAAAAATATTTTTTTTCACTCAACTTTGTAGTATACATGGCGTGGAAATGTAGTTAATTTATTATTTATGTTATTGGCTTGAGAACTTGAAAAAGTAACAAGGATATTAACAGATTAAGATGATACACTATATTACTTGAACGAAGAAGTGTTACCTACTTGTAGTGCTCATGAATAATTTTATATGCAGCTCTTGGGAAAACATTTTTTTTGGAGATCCTGCTTTATACGTTTGTACATAGCAAATTAATGACAGAAGAATCTGGTTGATTTAAAGACTGGGTAAACCAAGACACGAAAAATATTTTTCTTCAAGAAACAAACTTTAAAAATGAAGCATAAGCCAAGGAAGGTGTTCTTGTGATAACAATCACTCTCAAAGGAAGTTTCTTTAATGGCTATTTTGATGTTTAAAGAAGGTGGTTAAGAAGATAATTTATTGATGAAAAGTATTTATTATTTTGAGTGCAACCGAATATTTATTAATACATCTTCTGTATCAGTCAAACGGAAATGTATTAAACGTATAATGGTTTAAAAGTCTGGATTTGTTGTGAAACCAAGTACTTAAAAAAACATATTTAGGAATATCGTGTGTTATCTGAAAAATCGGAATATTAAGTCAACTGTAAGTGGCATGAGTTTATTCAGAGGAATATTTGTACACAATTGTACTATATGAAATCTTGTTTAAAAACTTTATTACTTATAGAATAATCCATTGAGTCATTGATGAAAACAAAAACAAATTTCTAACAATTTGATTTGTTTTGAATTTCGCGCAAAGCTACACGAGGGCTATCTGCGCTAGCCGTCCCTAATTTAGCAGTGTAAAACTAGAGGGAAGGCAAGCCAGTCATCACCAACCACCACCAACTCTTGGGCTACTCTTTTACCAACGAATAGTAGAATTGACCGTCACATTATAACGCCCCCACGGCTGAAAGGGCGAGCATGTTTAGTATGACAGGTATTCAAACCCACGACCCTCAGATTTCTAGCAGAATCACACCTGTTCGCTCACATTGTGTAAACCGTGAATAAAGTACCTAAACTTGACTTTCTAGTTAGACGAATTGTTTCCAAAAATTGAAACCTTTATTCAAATTAATAATGTTTCTTTAACTGTTAAAATAAAATTTGTAATTCAGTTTATGTAGATGTAAATTTGAATCCCATTTTTGAATTTAATATCATCAATTAAATATTGTTAGCATGAACATTAATAATTTGTTCAATGAAGGGGAAAAAAAAACTTCATAATTACCCTTACCATGATTACAAAGGCAATCTGATCATTATTTTTAAAGATAGTTTATTTTTGGAATTTTCCATCTGTCTGTACTGAAATTAAATAAAATTAAACTGAAATCAAAGGTATGAAAAACAAGTAAGTGTTACTTTCAGACAAATTGAGAAATTTTAATTGTTTAGTGAAATTTTGAAATGAATCAAAGTCAACAAGCTGTAAGCTTTTTTTTTTAAAGTTACTTAATACAATTAAATGAAAATAAATTTATTCAAAAAGTGTTAGATTGCATTCAGAGAAATTGTGATTTTTTTTTCCCAAAAATAAAACAAGCTATTTTGAGACATTGGTCCCTTAGGGATTTTCAAGAATTAGGAGAGTAAATAATAATAGTACTTAAATCGCGATATCGACTACTATTGTGTTTATTGTGTCTCAGCCGGCGTAATGAGCTCTGGTTTGAGAATACTATTATTATACACTCTTATAATTCTTGAAAATCTTTAAGACAATTTAATGGCTATCCGATTAATTGCTTTAAGATACTTCACTTTTTAAATTCTAAATAAAATCGCCATTCAAGTATTTATAATTTATTTTCAAATGCTGTATTGTTATGAGTATTGAGAACATTCAATGTATGATGTAACTTCAGAAAATTACATCAGAGTAATAAAAATAAATTTTATAAAACTACTGGTGCCACAACTACTAAAATTTAAAAGCATTTTAAATTTTAAAATGTAATTTCGTTAGAAATTTCTTATAACTTGTATAGAATAAAAATATTTAAAAAACAGCGCTCATAGACGAAATTAAGACTAAATATGCTCATCTGTATATAACTTAATACTGGACATAATCGAACACTCTGTGACGCTATATATACATAGAAAATTAAGAACATAGGTCAATTAGTAAGTTTTTTTATGTTCGTGTTACAAGCCTAGAACCAAACTTAGTTTGTGACAATGGTATAGAGTGAAATTTAAATCGGTTATTTATGCTGATACATTTTAGACTAAATTGTTTACCATTGTCACAAACTAAGTTTGGTTCTAGGCTTGTAACACAAACATTAAAGAACTTACTAATTGACTTAAGTTATTTTGCTATTTGACTTATGCTATTTTGAGCTTTCGTCTCCTTGCTTTAAACCAATAGAGTGAAATTTAAATCGGTTATTTATGCTAATACATTTTAGACTAAATTGTTTGGGTTTAAAGCAAGAGACGAAAGCTCAAAATAGCATGAAGGTTTTATTTTTTCTGCTTTTTTTGTATTTTTTTATTGAACAAAGTTGAATGAAAAAAGCTAACGTGAAAGCGCGACTAGTCTTTTTGTACAAGAAAAAGCTTATTAAATTGAGAGTACATAACAATATAATCTTCAGCTTATCATCCTATCTTCCTCTATCAATCATACAGCTTATCATCCCATCTCCCTCTATCAATCATATTTCAAGTTTTGTTTTTTTCTACGTCACCTGAAAGCAAAACATAATGGAACAATTATTAGAGTTCTTATTAATTCTAAAGTGTAGAATTTTAACATTTAACATAATTTAAAGCACACTTGTTGGGACGAAACTATTATGAAGTTCAGTTATAAAATAATCTTTATATTTAAATAAACGTTAGAATAAAAATGTGATTATTTTTATGGGAAGGCTTACTTTTCTATTACCTCATTTTTACTTCAAATCTAATAATTAGTTCTATTACAACCAACAGTTATTTACTTAATTTATTTTACATTCACAAACTCATTGTAAATTACTACAGAATTTGTTGTGAAGTTAATAGTTTCTAAGTTGTTAGAGTTAGACATAGTTATTTGCCTAAATATATATCAATTTACGTTTTTCAGCTTCTGTTAAATCTGTTTGATCTATATTTTCTTGTTTAAGTTCCTGATTAAACTGAGTAGAAATAAATTCGGCAGAGAAAGAGTAAATGTAATTTCTAAACCTTGTACAAAAATACAAAAATAAATTATTATTTTTTTAGTCTGACAATTTATAAATGTGATATAATGAAGCGCAGTGTTTAGTTTTTCTTGATCAAACCAATTTAACTTCATAAAAATTTGCTCACAGGTTTCGCATATATATAACCTTTTATAGGTAATATAAATTTCTATTATAATAATGATAATATTTATCCTTATCTTTTCCGCATTAACGTTTTCGTATTTAGTACAAAAGTGTGGTAAGTTATCTTTCAAACAAACCTGAAGTAAATATTCTGTTTCAAGAAAATCGGTCAAAGTAGATCATTGAGCAACATATTATTGATACTTTTATGAACTTAATGATTTTAAATAAGCGTTTGCTTAATAAAATGAAATATGCTAATAACTGTGGGTTTTATCTAAGTCAACTGTACATAAATTATAGGTACATAAGTTTCAGATAGTTAAGGCTAGTTATATAACATTGGATTTCCATGATTCAATAATGACTTTTTTGCAAAAAATGCAGTATCAATATTTACTGATTAAAAATAATTCAATGACAATAAGTTATCATGTAGACATATTGGTATAGAATGACATTAAATTGACGCTTCAACTAACTCGTTAAACAACTGTATCCAACTCATGGAACGAAAGACGTTCTTAGCTAAGTAAAAATTGACTTACAAATTAGGAGATTCGAAGTTGGACAACCACACTGATATTTATAGATTCTAGAAACAACATTCTATACTGTCAGATATATAAAACAAACCTTGACAGATACTGTATGAAGATATCTGTATTATCTTGTAATACATACTTTTGAAACACACGCTGTTCCGCTGGAACTTGATATGTTATGAATTGTAGGTAAGGCCACCAACACAAATAAGGTAGCACAACCAGAACAAAACCGTTGATGTCGCTGAAAAATAACGTATATTAAATCTTGTTTTAAAGTCATGTGAATATCTTATTTGTATGTTAGAAAAATAATATTTTACTGATAGAAAAAAATAATCGCGCAACCGGTAATATTGAGCAGCCAAATTTATATGTATATTTTAAAATTAAAGAAACGCCCATATAAAGCATCTTAGGGAAAATATATATATATTAACATTATAATTGTACAGAACGCTTCACGAACATTTGTAATGACAAACAATATTATATGTTTTAGTTTATAGGTATTATAAAATAGTAAAAGGAAGTTAAACTAAAATAAAAGGTATAAAAATGAAAACGATTCCTTTCAAGTAAAAGCAGTAAATAAAACTTAGTAGATACCATTTTATCTGTTTTATAACATAAAGCAGTATATATGTATATTGAAATTATCATATACCTTATGTTTACATGCTAACATTAGAAAGTGTAAAACTTTGAATGTCTTTTGTACACTTAACATTATACGAAGAGCCGTTGGCAGTAGGCCAGTCTTAAAACTGACCAAAAAACCAGAATAAAAATGAAAATGAAGACAAACAATAATTGAATCTTGGTGGAGACTTGAATATTTATATATTAAGTACGCTCGAGAAGTTCACAATCACATATATATATATATATATATTTAATTGTACTTCTCTCAAACACTATATGAAATTACAAAAATAAATATCAAATTCTCCCTTGTACAAGCGTGCGAAATATTTCCCAGTTTTCAAAATTATAACCTATTCTTCAGTGAAATTGTCATAGTAAAAGTAAAATTACGCAGTGTGTAAGATTTATAAATTCAAGCCAAAAATTACAGAAAAAAAACAGTAAAAATATTAGATTTTAACGTTTGGCAGTTTCATTTTCTCTAGATGTTTTATTTTTCATTGTGACGGTAGAATACAAAATGCTTTGAAATTCACGTTTGTTTGTTTTAACGCAATGCTACACTGTATGCATTATGTCCGACGTGGGGTTCGAGCCTCAAACGTTATTCGCTCTCACGCTCGCCACTGAGCCACTGTTGGATGTAAAATAATATATCTAATGGAGTAAGGTCTGACTAACCAGCAGTTATGCAAACCAGGTGGAGATACTGTGTAAAATAACTCCAACAATCACGGAAATTTTCTGTTAGGTATTCTAACAACAGACGACATTTTCGGTATCATGATACATGAATAAAATTGTAATTTTCCGTATCATGATACAATAATGAAATTGTAATTTTCCTTATCATGATACAATAATGAAATTGTAATTTTCGGTATCATGATACATTAATAAAATTGTAATTTTCCGTATCATGATACATGAATAAATTGTAATTTTCCGTATCATGATACAATAATGAAATTGTAATTTTCCTTATCATGATACAATAATGAAATTGTAATTTTCGGTATCATGATACATTAATAAAATTGTAATTTTCGGTATCATGATACATCAATAAAATTGTAATTTTCGGTATCATGATACAATAACAAAATTGTAATTTTCGGTACCATGATACAATAATAAAATTGACATTTTTGGTATCATCATACATTAATAAAAATTAGTTTACTTTTTTTTCAATAATTCTTTAGTAAAGTATTTTTATCCGGTGAACTGGTATTGTAAAAAAATATTTAACCGCGTTTTGTATTCCAGAGTTCATTTCCAATTTAAACCCACTAACCTGCTTCTCTAACTTAACCTTTAAACACAGTGGTGGATTCAAAATCTGGCGAAGCAATAGAAAACAATGTGTCTAACATGTTATGATAAAATTCATATTAACAACGTATGTTTTTATATCCCTCCAATTTTGGATCTGCGATGGACAACTTAAGAGGAATGATTAAAAAAAATCTGTAATTAATGTGATTTTTATCCCAAATGTTAACCTTATTGCTTTCTAATGCTTAGCTGTCTTTCGGTGTTTAAACTGTAATTTTGAAGTACCATACTGCATATGTAAATAGTGCTTTAGAGAATCTTTTGTCTCACATCGTTTAACCCAACTGACTAGTTCTGCCACTGAACAAATGATGACTTGTGGGAGACAAAAATAATATGAAATGCTATATTTACACTTTTCTGATTTTGAATTCATAACGGACAAATTAAAAGGAATGTGAAAAAAAACATCCACAGTTAACATGATTTGTATTACAAAGTTTAGATCTGTTGATTTCTAATTTTTAGCCTTTATACTGTAACTCTTAAAGTATTTGTAATGTTTTTCACAAATACTCATAATCCTCGTTTTCTTTGTCATATAATCTCGAATGTTTTATAAGCTAACAGGATTTCCCATAAAACCCCATAAGAAAAGGTTATGTTAAATACATCTCACGAAGGACAAAATAAAGTAACTGAAACCTCTATGACATAGGTACATTTCCACAACTGGAAAAGAAAAAATAAGAAAAGAAAGAGAAAAGATGATTAAAAAACTAAAAGAAAAAAGAGGTACTGTCATTCTGGTATGATTACCCACGCTACTTTTCAATATGTTTTTCGTATCTTTGTTATGCATGTGACAAAGAGATAATAATTATACTTTGTCGCAAATATCTTTCAAAGAGAGAAACTGAGAAGTGTTTGAATAATTATAGTCTAACCTAGAGGTGTGATGAGAAAATATACAGGGAACAGAGATCACCAGCTTTCCACTGATTTGAGATGCATGTATAGTGGGAAAATTTGGTAAGCATATTTCTATTAAATTAAGCATCTAATCTATACAAAAGCCAGTATGTGTCACGTCACGTCACGCTTGATTTCTCGAAATAGGAGGAGTCATAAACGCCAAAATGCATTTATCCAGATAGAATAGTTCGATTACTGTACGTCCATTATGATTTTAGTGACAGGGTGCTAGGGGGCCGTGAGGGGTGTGTGTGTCATGAAACCTTATAAGTGTAGTGAGTATTGGTATAATAAACCTAAAGTAAATA